AATATTATCCCCACACCCAGCATGTATTCAACAACACCTTCATGTTTTCAAATACAAGGAACTGAGGTGGGAGTTACTTGCACTCACTCATCAACAAGACCCTTCCTGCTTTTGCTACCACAGAAGGAGTCCCGGTACCCAATGCAACATGGATTATGATGGAGTGGATCAGGGGACAAGTAAATGAAGGTTAAATCCAGGCCTTGGACTTGAGAGGCATTTCTGGGCAGTCTGCACTTGGTCCCTCTGCAGTGCTCTTTTCCCTGGTGTGATGGGGCAGTAGCACTGACAGCAGATCGGGGAAAGAGGTCAGGTAGAACAGGTGGGGAAAGGAGAGCTCTAGAGAAGGAGGAAAGAGGTGTGAATGGACAAAAGACACCAGGCAGATGAGAATCCAGCAGCAAACACCCACTGTTATTGAGGAATTTTGAAGAATTCCAATCTGTTGTGGTGAGAAGGCATATGCTGTTGGACTGCACTAGGGTTCTCCAACAAAGAGCATGTACTTTCCTTCCCTGCTTTAAAGAATTGAAACAGTGTGGAAATTAGTATATAATCAGATTTATAATTACAGTGTAAAACACTTTTGATATTAGGCAAGGCTAGGAAAGTTATCTAATTTTCAGTCCTCAGTTCCTTGTGTTTCCCCTCCCAATAACTGTTTAACTCAAAGTTCATAACTTCCTTGTAACTGGTTAGTACTGCTCCATTTTGTTCCTCTGAAAAGTTGCTGGAAAGGCAGCAAGAGCCCACCAAAGCTTCCTAAAGCAGTGGGAAGGGCAATCCCTTTCTAACTTGCTAGTCAAAGGTGTGGGGATTTGCCAAAAAAATGTTTTGCCCTAATAAGGGCACTGCTGATTTCTTTAAGGAAATGTTCCACTGTCATGTTTCTGAGGAAGAACCAGTAGACTCACAGTGCTGTGGTGGACTTCACAGGGAAGTGCTGGCCAGGGGATGGACTCCACAAGGTGGGCATGTCAGAGCCTGGGCCTCCCAAAAGCAGAAAACCATGAGGACTTGTGTCCTCACAGCACCTGGAAGGTCCAGTTTCCTTCAGACACAGCAGCAAGCCCTGAGAGCCACATCTCATAGTGAAATGTCACCTCTTGTGCTTCACACTAGAAATTTGAATGGTTCCCACCACATGTGCTCCAGTTCTGTGCTGGAGCAGAAATTTGAAATGCACCTGGATGAAACACTTTACTGACCTCCTGCCCTTGGCCTTCCACACCCACATCCTTGAGACATCCTTCTCCCAGACGTCATCCAGCAGCAGAAACATTGTGCTGCACTCCGGGGCTGCAGCAGGGGGTACGATCAGCAAGTACTGCAGGTCACTGTCCTTGGGTCACCACATGTCACCCACAGCACCTCTGCCTTCAGAGGTACGACCTTAAAATATTTCCTTCCATGTAAGCAATGATGGATGGACAACCTAAAGGTATAAAATCCCCCTTTTTCTCACAGAGACCACAGTAACATTCAGCCCCACTTCCACGTCAAGCTCAGGTCTGCATTTTAACATATACATTAAGGAGACTGTATTAAAAAAAAAAATCTAATATTATGCTTTTGAATAGAGAATTTACCTAAGTAAATAATTATTTTTAAACCCAAGATTTAAGCAGCTTTAGTATTCCACATTATGCTAATGTTTGACAATTACTAAGTGTGGGTATCAGCCAGCATTTTTTTTTAAGTTTAATTTAAAGCAATTTGACATGGAAAGGTTATTACTTTAGTTGCCAATAAAAGCTGTACTTTTAACATAAGTGTACACCAAGCCCTAGGGTATGTGACTATTATCTTTTCTGCAATTATGTGGTGTTCTACATAAATGTTTAAAAAAAAAAAAAAACTTAGAAATATCAAAAGTACTAACTTAGCTGCAGTATGAAAGTTGAATAGCAGAGCCGGGAAGCCCGGCTCCCGCAGACACAACACAGGTTGAGGTTTCCTCCTAGAGGTACCGCCGGGAACGGCGCCTCCGCCTGCACAGCATCGCATCCCCCGCACAGCATCCCCCGCACAGCATCCCCCTGCTCCGCATGCCCCTTCTCCGCATGCCCCCACACCGCCTCCCCTGCCCCCTGCTAGGAGGGGGGAAGGCTTTGCTCACATTCTTCGCAGAATCTCACTGGTTCTGGCTGGAAGGGACCACAGCGTGTCTCCTCCATGATCAAGCAGGGTTATTCTAGAAAAGATAACACGGTGTTGAAGCCAGATAGTTCTGGAATGTCCGCAGTGAGGGAGACTCCACACCCTCTCTGGGCAGTCTGTTCCCGTGGTCTGTCACTGCTCAGCAAAGTTCTTCCTTGTGTTCAGGTGGAACTTCCTGGGAATCATTTTGTGCCCGTTGCCTCTTGTTCTTTAACTTGGCATCACCACCGTCCTCTCAACACCTTCTTTTTGGATACTTATAGACATTGACATAAACCTCTTGACCTTTGTTTTTCCCTTAAAATAGAAACTGGCACTTCCACTTGGCCTTAGGGCTGCCTCTCAGAAGAGACCCCATGGCTGTAGCAATGAGTCTCCCCCACAGCACAAGGCAGAGTGTGGGGAGCCCCATGCCCAAGGAGCAGCCACCCCACAACTCCCAACCCAAATGCCAAGTTTGGTGCTGCCAGACAGAAGCAGCCCTGCATGGTCACAGCCCTGCCCTTGAGTGGAAATCAGCCATTTTCCTCAGGAAATTGTGTGGGAAAGGGTGAGGAGCCACAGTGTCATTGCCAGAGATCCCAAATGGATGAAGCCCTGGGTTCAAGGTCAGGCTGGATGGGATTTTGAGCAGCCTGGTCAAGGGCAAGTTTTCCCTGTCCATGGCAGGGGGGTTGGAACTAGAAGATCTTTAAGATCTCTTCCAACCCAAACCATTTGATGACTCAACAGGGCTGTGGAGGAGATGAAAGTGTTTTCTTAGGAAGAGACAGACCAGCTCATACATACAGGGAGAAAGACACCTCCCTTCTGACACATGGTCTCCTCCAGGATGTTTCTGGGCAAAGTGAGGGTGCCATGAAAAACAAAAGTACTGTGAGGGTATTTGCCAGTTAGCATGAGCACTTGGCACCATGTGCTGTGTCCCCTTGGGCTGCTTAGTCCTGTGTGATGGAGGCCCTTCCACCAGCCTCTCTGGGCCAACATGGGGCAGGGCCAGGGCCCACATGGGCACACAGCAATGCCCCCAAACAGGAGCCAAGCTCCACACCAGCCTGTGCAGGTAAGCTCATTCCTCTGCTCTGCCCACTCAGCCCTTCAAAGGCAGAGCCTGGGGGCAAACAGAGCAGGCGAGACAAGCTCTAGTCCAAACACTGGAGGCTGCTTAGTTAAGAGATCATTTTGATTTTTATTTTTTTTTTAAGTCTAGGTGATTTTTTTTTTTATGTCTGGGTTTTGTTTTTAACTTGAAACTTGTGAAAATCACTGCATGCCCTTTACTGGCTGAAAGTCTTCCCGAAACCAGGGCAGTGAAGTTCAGCTTCCTGAAGTGCCCTGCCTGTGCCTTTTGGTGCTGAACTTCAACCATCTCCAGGCAAGGAATGGAAGTTCAGCCTTCACAATCCATTCAGTCTTTTGTTTTCTGCTGAGAAAGTGAAAACACTGCTCATAGTTCCAGTGCCAACTGTAGTTTTTGTTTCAAATTAACTAAAGTTCATTATTTTACACTTTAGGTAGAAGCTGTAACAAACTGTTCACCAGCAGTCCAAGCAATAGTATACAAGCCCCTCTAGGATCCCTTGGAAGAGCTCCTGATGAGTTCACCAATGTTTGCACATTAACCTCTGGGTGAAAAGCCAGCCAGAGGGATGTGAGAACTCCACTGAGCCCTCCAGAGCATGACACAAAATGATGCAAGTGTGGGAGCTAGGAGAGAAAAGGTTTTGTGAGCCCAGAAAAATAATAAAACGTTTAAATCCTTAATTGTTTTTCTTGAAGATTTATCCAAAATCAAGCTCTACTTAAGCCTGTGAGTTTGCAGAGCATTGTCAATAAATTAGATCATGCACACAAGGCAAGGATTTCAAGCCAAAAATCTCTAGCCCTGAGTCGCTTAACAGCAGCACTCCCCAGAAAAACGACTCAAGATGAAACATGAGATATGTATTAATTATCAATGGTCTAATAGAAAATTTAATGAAGACAAGTATCTTCTTGCACTTTATCCATGATAACAATGATAGTACGTCAGCGAGGCGCATACCTTACAACGTAGCAGTGAATGTCAAGTCTGAAGCCATTACAGCAATTCCCCACAATAATGGCCAGCCAATGCATGGGCTTGTAGCACTTAATCAAAGTAATGACATCCATCCACAATTATTTATGTTATGGTAACAAAGAGCTGCCAAATGCAAAACAAATGACACAAGGATTTGCAAGTGAATTTCTTCCCGTAAATTCTCCTTAGGTTATGCTTTAGGGCCCTCAGGATGGAAGTCTGTCTTTATCCAGAGCAATATCAGAACCGTGGGGTCATTGTGCCACGTTTTACTGCCTATAAGCAATGAACCCAATGCTATCAGCAAAACAGGCTCTTCAGCCAACAGAACTGTATCAATATCACTTGAGCTGGCCTTGGTTTACACCCAAGAGTTGTCTTCAGAATTTTACAAGAAGAAAAAGAAATTATCTGAAAGATGACCTTTGCTTACTTCTGTCTATCATGGAAAACAAAGACCCAGTTGTATCAACACTTAAACACACATTTAACTTAACATACATGAGCAGTCCCTACTTACCTCAATAGGTTTGGATTAGAGCCATTATAATTACCAACCATGAATCTCTATTAAGTGCAGCACTGTTCTTTCAGGGGCATTTATGTGGGTGTTTGTATAAAAACACTGTCAAAAACTAAAGAACACCAGTAAATATAAAATGGCAACATTCAGGTTCAAATGTAATGAACTAATTTATTTTTTTTAACACTACATCCAACTGTTTTTTACCACTCACAGATGTCACTGGAACAACTTGAATTCAAAAAAATTGCCTAAGAACAATAAACTACACAGACCAGCTAATATTGATTGCTTTAAAAATGCCCCCTGTTAAACTTAAATAATAGCCAAATCTCACTGCAGTAAATGCACTTTTATATCATTAAATACTAATTTAACAGAAATGTGACTGCACAGTGAAAAACACGAAAATGCTGGAAAACTGAAAGATTGCCCTTTTTTTTGCCTTATTCTGCTTGTGCATTACACAAGTCTCCAAATTAACACCTGAATGAAGAAAACAATAATTTCATATTAGCTGGCCACATAGTCACACAAGCCAAAGCTGGGAGTCAGCTTAACTCTAATATGCACTTTCCAAGGCCCGTGAGAATGGAGACAGCAGGACGCCTCTCACCACAGGCTCTGGCCACCCTCGATGACCAGGTTGTGGCCTGTCATGTAGTCGGAGGCTTCGGAGGCCAGGTAGACCACGGCAGCCTGCAGGTCCGTGGGCTGGGCCAGCCTCCCGGCCGGAATGTCAGCCAGCCAGCGCCGCACCAGCGGCCGCAGCTCCCGCGAGCGGATCAGCGGCGTGTCAACGATGCCCCTGCAGCGAGCACACGAGGCAAGGGTTCAGCAATGAGTCCTGCCCAGAAGGAAAGGCAGCTCCTAGAGGTGTTTTATGTTAATTCAGAATGTTAATTCAGAAGGAAAGCAGGGTAACAGCACAAAGAAGAAGAGCACGTCCAGCCGGCTCTGTCCTTGCTGAAAGTCGTGGTGCAAACTTCCATAGCGCTCCTTTCCTATCATCACCTTTCGCTGCTGGTGGGCAGCTCAGGGGTTTCCTTTCAAGTACACATACACTCACACAATCTTCCTAGCTAATAGCACAACCCCCTTACTTTTAGATTACTCACAATCACCAGTTTAAATTTCTTTTCTAGGAAATAAGCACAGCATTGGAAGTGAATGTGCCTTGAATTGGGTCTGTCACGGCTCTTGGGAACTGTTGTCCTTCCACCAATTTCTCATCACTCTACGACTAATGTCATACAGTGTGCTTGTGTACAGCCCAGAAACTGAATACAGACCAACTCCCCATATGTCAAACAATGAGGGGAACAAAAGCCAGCACCCTTCTGGACACCAGAGCCTTTCCACACAAAAAAAGGAGGGGCAGACATAAGCACAACACAGCCAGTGTGATCCCCCTTAAACCAACACCCAACAAATCACACTGATTTACCTGTCATGCCTGTTTTTTATTAATGACTGACTCCACTATTTACTAAAACTCTGCTAAGTTTGGTTTATTTCAGGTACCCTAAAAATGATGCTGCAGGAAGCACAATGCAGGGCAAGAATTTGGCTGGCTTTTATGACTTTAACTGCAACTGATTTGTCATACTCCTCCTTAACAACATATTTGTATTTTGCGAAATGTATAATTTTTTCAGCCCCTGAACAAATATATTTACATAACTGTGTCTAACGAGAAATTACATTTAACTTCTCAGAAATGACAATAACTAAAACCTGAACTGCCAATTCCACTTCATTAGTGTGGTAGAAATGCATTCCAAATGTTAATAAAAATTCCAACATGCTGATAAATTAGCGCTTCTAAGGAGCATGTGACACCTTGGTTAACATATTCAACCTCAATTATATTTCTCTTCAGCACCCTGTTATCTGGAACCTTTGCTGGCAATCAGAGGTGCTGTTTTTCAGCGGCCAATTTTCTAGATAATGTAGCTTATCAACACTGTGGGTAAACTTGCCAATGAAATCAGGCTGCACTGAACCACACACACGCTAATTGCATCTCTTTTTTATGCATATTTACAGACTGTCACTTCAAAGAAATCAGTGGCCCATTGAGGCAGCCAGTTAGCTGGAAGAATTGCCTCTTGCAAATGAAAATTAGCAAACAAGCTAGTGATAAATATGAAATGAACAAAGTATAAAAATACTCGTTTTGTTCTGAAACTTCATCGGCATCCCAATTTAGACTTCCAAGGAAATAATTTTTTGAGACAGACTGGATTCTGGGTATGAGATTTACCTTTTGTTTTAAATGAAGGCTGAAATCCACTATTTACTCTGTTATGAAGTGGAACTAATTCAGATTTTCCCCCAAACATTTCTGTTCGCACTAATCAGGCAGGATTTAAATATCAGCTTTATGTTTTATCGTAATTGTCAATAAAGAGCAGAGCAGTTCAGAAACACTGAGCAATGCAGCTCACTTAAGTTCTGGCAATGTAACAAAATCAAGCACATTCCAGTATAGGACTGAGAATGCTTTACTTATTTCCTTCAAGCAGAGCCCCATGGTCTCCTTTGCTTTCCTAAACTCCTCAAGAACTGGTTTTCTTCAGAGAGAAACGTGCTTTGAGCAGCAGACATGAAATATATTGAACTCCTTTCCATTACGTGCCTCTCTGAGCTTACAAAACCATCACCATCATCATCATCATTCTGGCTTTACACTAGCAGAGACCAGAATAAGATCCATATGATTTTCTTTTTTTTTTTCATTTACAGATACATTTTAACCCCAAGGGAATGCATATTAGGGAATAAAACATACAGTCCTCCAGCACAACAGATTTTGCTAAAAAGAGGACGTTTTTCAATCTGTTGGGAAAAATGATCTTTGGTCTGATCACTGCAGTCTGTGAATCACCATGCTGTGCCTCTTGCTGGACCTTTCTTTAGGTTCACTCCACGTAGCAAAAATTTAGATGTGAAACCAAACTACACTACAAATTTTTTGTTATAGAAATGAGAAAAAAATATAGCGCAAAACTTAAAAGTTGCAAACACACATACTGATGGCACTATAAATATTAGGCATGTCATTGATACTACACATCTTCTGGGAAAGCTTGGTGCCAAGTTGGGCAATTTAATGTTGTCGAACCCTTTTAGGCAGATTTTAGTTGGCTCCTAACCAGTTCCAGCAAAGACAACTGCCAATGCATTAATTCCCTACCTCATCTCATATGCAGTGCTGAGCCTATCAGTACTTTCTGTTGCATGTCAATGTAATATCAAACTGCTGGTTCCTTAATGTTAGATATGAGCATCAATATTTCATTATTGATACACAGGACAATGGTGGACATGAAGGGGGAAAAAAAAGACCACTAAGAAAAAAGGAGAAAAAAACAATTGCCTGAAACCTTTCCTCTTTGAGAGACGCATTAGAAAAAATATCACTTACCAGATACTTAACTGGAATTGTTACGTGCACTCAATCCCCAAATGAGAGCAAAAAAAGATTCCATCTGTGTGTAACTTGATTTCTTTCAGATGAGTTATTAATTTGAATGAGTTAAGTACACTCCACTTAATCAGGAAGTGTTTAATCACAAGATCCACTTAATTGGGACATCTCCCAAGGAATTAAGATTTAAGTCCAAAGATACTTACCAGCAACGACTGCTGCTTAATGGGGATAGTAAAGCTGCTTAATTGGGATGCCTTCAGGTGATGCTGGGGTGCTCCTTCACCTGCCAGCTCTGCCTCTCCTTCCCCCTTATGGAGTGTTCCCCACACCTGCAGTGATCCTGCCCTGCCTGCTTTCTGGGGCTGCAAGTCTGGTGCAGCACTGCATGGCTGCCTTCAGAGGAGCAGGGCAGATTGCAGGGCACACAAAGGCTCTTTGCCCAGCAGCCCACACCCAAATCCCTGCATCCCATCGGGGGGTACACACTTCATCCCCCAGGGCTGCTGGCCTGGCTGCAATTTGACCTTAATATTAACTTCCAGCTGCCCATCCCAAAGGTCATCACATAACTGAGTTTCATGTCTTGCTAATCAAGTAATTAGCAAAAAAAATGGACATTGATTCATTGTAATGGCTGCAAAAATTATGTGTTCAATGCTGCACATGGTAAAAACCAGACACCTCCCAGAATTTCCTCTTCCATCACACCCAACACACTTCCATGTCCTGGAACCAGCAAAGAGACTAAACCCTGTGGGCAGCTGGACATCACTCAGTGCTTTGTAAATTCCCTGATTAAAGCCAGGCGCCCTCTGCAGTTCAACCCCCACATTCATTTCAGGAAGACTCCAGGACCTTCATTTTTTGGCGCCAGCTATGCAGTGGCTATGATGTGATGGCACTGGATGGTGGTGCAAGCACTGAGCACAGGCTGCACGATAGCAACAGCATAAGTCAGCCAAAGCATCCAGGGAATCTCAGCCACCTTCTCTCCATGGGCATCAGGTTTGCCTGGCCAGCAAGAGAAGCCTGCATGTTCAATTTTATAAATGCAATAAATCATCCTAAGGACTCTGTCATAACATTTTATGCATTGCTAACTTTTATGCATTGCTCTGCATAAGTTTTATGCACTCATTAAGAAATTAAGTTGATAAAAAGTGACCAGATAGGAAGAGGGGGGAAAGGCCAAAAGGTTTGCATGGTGAAATAATGTTTAAGGCCAGACTGGAGCATTTGGAGCTTCAGACAGAGGCACACTGGGAGCGCCTTAAAGCTTTAATGCAACCATGACTGGGAGGGGCAAAGTAGGACATAAATATTTTACTTATCCAGAGCTGATCTTGGGTACTATTGAGCCTTATATTTACATCTGTTCTCCTCAGACTCCTTAAAATCCCATCCTGTTATAAGACAACACAGGCTCCTGCTGGTGCTGGGTACTCAGATCAAGTGGGTTGAACGTGTCCCTGGTCCTCAGTGAGTCACATCAAGAGACAGCAACAATAGTGGGGTCCACAGTTCCAGGGATGGGTCCAAATGTGCACTGAAAGTGCAGGTTCATATCTCACACAGATAGGAATACAAATGTGAATAGTTATTCACTCAGAAACATGTGGCTTTTGCTCATGTGGTGAGGGATCTGAGCTCCATGAGCTGCTGCAGGCTCCTTCCTCATGCCCAGAGGTCCCTGGGCAATCCCATCATGAGGGATGGGGTTGCCTCCAAGCCAGAGCCTGGAGGCTCTGTGAGGGAAGTTCTGCTGGTGTCCAAAGCAGCTCAGTCCAGGTTCCTACCTGCATTAGGGAAAACTGCTCTGTCCACAACAGGGGACCTCAAAGACAGCAAAATATTTGTTCTCCGTGTGTCCTTCCTGGCTATTCCTCCAAAAAGGCAATACATCATCCCCTTTTTGTTGTAGGATTTTGAGCTCAGAGCTAGAGTTTAAGACAGGTAGAGATGATCAAAATGCAACCCTGTGCTGCCTTGAAAAGTAGAAAGAGAAGCTATTTTTTCTCCATGCTTTGGCAACTGTCTCCAGAAACTTAACTTCTCTAGAAGTGAGTTCTTGCTTCCAAGCTGTACAAAACAATGAGTTTTGATCATTTGGTGCCTATTTTTTAAATTTATGTAAGCTCCTAAGAAAGGGGTAATTCCTCCAGAAAGAGCCTTCTCATCTGTAATTGCTGTGAATGTGGCACAACTATCCCACCTCTGCTGGTGCAGATTACCCGTATGTTTTCAGACACAATTCCTGCCAGGTCCTGCTGAGCTTCCCTAATTCCCTTCATCTCCCCAGCTCCCGAAAGCCAGTGTAAATTCACTAGTGCTAGTTGTAGGAGCACCATTACAGTGCTGCTAGCATGGGCACGGGGAAAATCCCATTAGGAAGTAAGATGCTGTTGAAAGAATCTGTGGATCACGTAGAGCGACGGCTGGAGTCTCTGGTATAATTAGTAATAAATAATCATAAGGAAGACAGCTAGCACAAGCAAGGGGAGAGCAGAGCAGTGGTAAAAACAGAAGCACTTGCCATTAAGCTCTGTGATTTTTTTTCTCCCCCTCCACTTTGTGGATTAAAATATGTAATTTGTTTTCCCTAATTTGATCTACATTATTATCTTCATTATTACAATTTAACTCCTAGGTTAAAATCCTGCCCTTCTTAGTTACTCTGATTGACTTCAATGGTCTACAGAATTTGACCGCTTCCAATTAACGCTATCCACTTGGGTTTCTGCTCAGCACTATCATGCACTGCTAATTGTTTAATAAAATGACTGGTTGGGCATGTGTGTGAGAAACAGGGAGAGACAAAGTGGATCTGGTAGGAAAACTTTTCTTTGTTAATAAATACCCTAAAACATAGAGCTTGAAATCTCCAAAAATAAGAAAAATTTATAATTTATATATATATATATATTTACAAAACTACACCTGGCCTCCTGTGTCTGTTGGAGCTGAACAGTAGCTCAATAACAGCAATAAAATGTAGCTTTTAAAGTGTCTTTGTATTTGTCTCAAGTAAAAAGGGAAAAGAAGTATTGTCTCTTACATGTCAAAACCCCTTTCTTTAACCACAGAAGGCTTGGACAGACTAAGGAAATATTTCATTTGGAAAGGAAATGCTAAAAACTACCCTTCACATTATTGGAAAACCTATTACCAAATGCTAAAACCTCTCCTTAAATCCCTGAGTATACACAGCAACAGAGCAGGCTTGGTTCTAAGTATTTAAACCTTTGTTAAGGAAAAGACAACATAAAAAGGGATGCAATCCACCTGCTAATTAGAAACTTTATTTGCTGAGATAGTGTTCATTTGAGCTTTGTAGAACATTTCATTCCCTTTGTAGTTTCAAAATGAGACTACGTTTTACTTACGGGGAAATGCAGTTGACTTTTACTCCTCTGTCAATCCACTCGGCTCCCAATGTCTGTGTTAATTTTACGACCCCAGCTTTGGAGGCGTTGTATGCCAACTGCTTCTGTGGGTGAGGGACTACAAGGGATTCAGAAGAAGAAAATTATTTATTCTTCCCAAATTAAAATAGCTCAGGCACTACACAGACAACCCCCTGCACTGAGATGAGCTATTTGCCCTTTTCCCAGGTACCAGGCAGGGAGCAGCAAGAATTCAGCCACCTACAACACAAACCCCTAAATATGTATTTTGCCATCTAACAATTTTGTCTCAGCAGATGGGCTGCTGGAAAACAATGGTAAAAATAAAAATAAAGACATTTAAAATATCCCATATTTGGGCAAAGACAAAACCAATGTATTAAACATATATATGCAATACTTGACTGCTCTGAAGAAAGATAAATAATCATATGCACACATGCACGTTCATATATTATACACATAAGTATGTTTATATACTTGTGCACTGTAGCACTAATAAAATATATTATCATATATTCTAAAATATTATATAATCAATAATATAATGTCTAACATATGTATTCTGTGTTATGTAATATCTGAATATTATTTATAATATTATGTGGTAGATAATATGTGATAGCTGAATGTAACAGTAAATTGATTGATATGACATTGTATGATAGAATATGATATAAGTGTATAATAGATTTTTATATAACTTATTATATATAGCTTCTTGGAACAAATTATTCTCCCTAATTTTTAAATTATCCATAGTCTGAGGCAAACACATCTTATGATCTAACTAATGTTTGTGTGGATGTGAACACAGGTGCATCCCAAAAATTCAGAACACCCACCACTTTCAAAATCTGAAGCTTTTGAAAGTGTTTCAGAGATGTCACATGTCAGTCAAAGACAGAAAATGATCAGCTTGCTAATTACAATGTTCAAGCTTGTTAGTGCCGTGTGCTCGGGTGGCTCTGCCCCTCTCCAGCTCAGTGAAAGCTACTTAAGGACAAATCCCCAGTGGGTGTAAAGTGCCTTAAACCCACGAGAGTCAATCCAAGTCAGTCCAGGTGTTGGCATTCACACCCACAAAATATCTCTCCTTGGACTTTTCTGGCTGCCATTAGGACTTCATTAAACAAATCCAGAGCAAAGCATCCATCCATAATTAGCTCTGTATCAGCACAGAGCTTCACTGAGCTGCTGACTCTGATGGAGGGAGAGAGGGAGAAATCAGGGCAAATATCAGTAGTCACAAAGACAGGCAATTCCAGCCTGTGGGGTTGGATAATGCTGAGCCCTGGAAGAAAGGAAATCACTGGGTTTGTGCAAGATTCAGTAGCCAACCCAGCTCCCAACATTTTGATAAAAGCACATAAGCAGCACTGGTAGCTGACATTAAACTGGTCTCAATAAATTAAGTTGATGCATCAGTTCTATATCACTCCCACCCATGGCATCCCAACACACCCACTACTGATTTTATTGACTTAAAGTCTTGGGTTTGAATACGTCAATGTAAAGGGTGGAAAGAAGGTGATAACTGAGTTACCCAAACTCTGAAAGAGCCAAAAAGCCCTGCTGCAAATCAGTGAATATGTGAACAAGGACCTTTGCCTTGAACAGAGATGTTTGTGAATATATTTAAAACACACACATGATAGCAGCAACAATTAGAGGGTTTTCTTTCTGCATATGCTTCAGGTTTGCTCAGAATTTAGAGGCTTTTTCCTTGTTAAAAAGATCGTTTCCTACCATGGCTCTCCTCTGCCAGCATTTATTCTGTGCTCTTTTTTGTTCAATATGAAATAATTTGCATTTTGACCAGCAGAACTGCTTTGCCCTCAGTGTGTGCCTGTTGCCCCCTGATGCAGCACGCCGTGGGGGCTCTCAAAGAGAAGTGGAACGTAATTTCTTGATTAATTGCCATGCATCAGCTCCAAGTTACATACAACTTCGGTAGTTAACCTTGTAACCTCCCAAAAGCAGTTCTTTGCTAAACTTTCCAAACATGTCTGTCTGTGATAAATCATTTTGGTGATCACTTGCTAAGAGGAGAGGAGTTCTGGCACTGGCTCTGCACCTACAGTGCATGTGGGTGAGAACAAGTTGCTGCAAGTCACAAGAATCAGCTTCTGAGTTGGGTGATGGGACACAGCTATCAAAAGTCCTTCCATGGACTTTTGTCTCTATAAGAATATCTAAAGAAGGTAATTAGGAGCATGAAATTTCTCCTGCTGAGACACTCATCCCCTCTCAGTTGGGAGAACTCAAGGAGAAGCCAACAGGTGCTGTGAATCTCTGGTGTTGGATGGGATTTCTGCAGCTAAGCACCCCATACCACCTCCTCTTCCCTTACCTAAGGTGGTCTCTTACAGAGAGAAAAGCAAATCTGTACCCTCCAAACTCATGCAAAATGGGGTTTGTGAATAAAGCCATGCCTCCAGCAGTGTCACCAAAAAATCTGCATTGCTAAGGCTTCTGGTAAGCAAGGACACTCACTCCTATTCAAGACAGATGAGAGGAGAAAGCAGATAAAAATTCTGCCAACTTCAGCTGTATTATGTTTTAAACACCTTTGTTCTGATTTTGGCTGTTTTGGTTTTTTTTCCCCAGTAACTGTTACAGTGCTGTGTTTTGGATTTAGGACAGGAATAATGCTAACACACTGAAGGTTTAGTTGCTGCTGAGCAGGTCTTACTCTAAATCAAGAACTTTTCAGGGCCTCCTGCTAGCGAGGAGGTCAGAGGCAAAAGAACCTGGGAGGGGACACAGCCAGGACAGCTGACTCTAACTGGCCAGAGGGATATTTCAAATCACATGGCATTGTGCTGAAAAACAAAACTGGGCTGGGTTGGCTGGCTACACTGACTGGGCATTGGTCAATGGGTGGTGAGAAACTGCACTGTGCACCACTTCTTTTTTAAGTTCTTTTTTCCTTATTATTATTTACCTCTCCTTTTCTGTCCTAATAAACTGTCTTTATCTCAACCCACAGGTTTCACCTTTTCTCCTGGATTCTCTCTCCCATCCTTAGTGGGAGGGAAGAGCTGTGGGGTTGTACCACAACAACCTGACACTGCTTTCATACCCTTGTTTGGTGCATCAGGCTCCCAGCCTGACCTTGAAGCAGCCACACAATATTAATGAGAGGAGAGCAAACCACTTCCCACTGAAGATATCCACTGTAAAAATTACAGCTCTGAGTTACACCTGTGTGAACGGCCCAGCCGCCGCTGCCGGAGCGAACGCCTGGAATAATTCCATTGGAACACCAGAATCAAAATGCACATATGCAAAATGTATGCAGCTTATCTTCGATTAATTAAAGCTGATTCTGAGCAGTGTATCTGGAAAAATCACAAACAAAAACCTCCCTATCCTGCTAAGTGTCTCCTCATTTTCCTGTATCTCTGAGGAAGGACTCAACCTACAACAACAACAAAAAAAAATATCCCCTAACTATTTCTAGAAACATTTCATACTATGCCAGTTGGCCAACGTACTTAAATAACCAACCAACCAACATATTTATTTAACATTCAGCAGATGGACATGATATGAACATCGTGGTTTTCAGTCGTAGTTTCATAACTACTAGATTTTCTCAATGCCAAGATTCAAACAGGTTCAGAAGGTAAACACATCTCTCCATCTCTTAACTTCTGGCCTAACATGCATTAACTTTCACTGACATTTAAATGCGTCTTGGGATGACCCTTCCAGCTTGCTCTCAGGGCTGCTTTCCAATGCTCCTTTCTGTTCCAGGACAGGTACTGCTCTCAAATGTGACCCCCTGGGCTTGGCTCACCAGCCAAGGAGCTCCAAGCTGGGGCTGGGATGGATGCTGTGTTGGAATGGCATCACCACCCAGCTCGGCACAGCTGTGCCAAGCCCCAAAGGAAAAGTTGGAAAAAGCCTCTCCTTAAGCAGAGCAGACCACTGCTGGGCTGCAGCAGGGCTGGGAGCTGTGTGCCAAACCAGCAGATCCCCAGTTTGTGCCAATTCCCAGAGCTTCCTAACTTTCCCCAGGATGGACTACATCCCAGGAAATTTTGTTTTGTGACAATGATGTGGATGGTGACAGCCGAAGCACAGACCAGAGCCTGACTGCTCAGAGCAGAGCAGGAAAGCCTGAAGTACTTGAAATTTAAAGCCCCACAATCTTTTCAGAACTACTTTTCTTGGGGAATTTTTGTAACTTTACAAAGTTGGGTCCCTGTGTTTAAGCATAAGTAAAACAGCTGGTAAAGACACTTGAAAAAATATTAACAACAACATTATAAATGGATTTTTGAAGAACCATTTAAAGTTATTGTGCAATAAACTGAGTAGAATGACATTGAATGTCAAACTGGGCACAGTAAAAATAAACATTATTCCAAAGGAAAATAAAAAGACTGCATATTTATGTAACCTTCAGCAGATGGACACGATATTAATACAGGGGTTTTCAGTTGTACTTTTATAGCTACTAGATTTTCTTGCCTAACTTGGCAACCCAAGGCACCATTTGATTTTTGGATTTGGACAATACTGCAACAGATGTCCAGACCAATAAAATAAATTCCTAAAGGGCTATGCTTAATTTGTGTAATTGATCAATTTTTGTTACATGGGCTTCAGCTCAGCAGCCTTCCAGATTAGCTCAGCAGTAGGGATTTCATTCCATATGTTACAATGGTTTATTGGTCCTTTTGATGACACTGCTGATTCAGCAGCCTTGGTGCAGGCACCTGTTGGCAATGAGAATGTTATAAAACCCATGGGTACCAGGGAAAATATTGGCACAAAATCCTGTGGGTGGCTTGTAAGCATCTTGTGGGCTCAGCTTCCCACGTGCCAAGGAGTTTGCCTGGAACAGCATGGAGGGAGCAGCACCTCTCCTGCTCCAGAGTCAGAGAAGGTGACTCCGCCTTTTCTATAAAAAGTAATAAGTGCTCTAAAACATTGAGGACAGATAAATGTTGAAAAATGATATCAATAAAAATTTTGTAGGACATTTCCTCTAATACGAAATGTCAGTGATTTACTCCTTCCCAATACAGGTTTAATTGATTCAAATAGCATCGGTAGTAATTAAAATATGGATTCTGAAGCACAACTGTTAGCTCTCATCACTCACCTATTAAACTTGCCATAGATGCTGTGTTAATTATCTTTCCATATCCTTGATTCAGCATAATGCGGCCTGCAGCCTGTGACAGAAATTAAAGGAAAGACCAGTGACCCTTTCTGTGATTGTGCTAATAATGACATGATAATAAATTAGTCTTTTCAGAAGAGTTGATGTGCTAACACATTTTTTTTAGTACCTGATATAAAAACTTGGTATAAAAATGGCTGATGCAGGGAAAAATCCCATTGCCATTTCACACCCCTCCACCTCTCCAAAATTTTTTCCAAAAAATCACAAATGTTGGGAATTCCCCCCTCCAAGTTTTCTGGTTTTCAAATAACCACCCTTCAAAAAAATTTTGGCCATTCTTTAATGCCTGGGCTTGGTTTGCCAAGAAGTACCACCTGGTTTGAATGTATTGACCAAAATCTGTAATTAATATAAAGCAAATCTCTCCTAAACTCCACCAAAACTAGGACCAATTTTATTGTGATAATTATAAATAAAGTGCTGTTATATCTTGACATAAAGTAAACACTTAGAATATTAGTAATCAATTTCAAAACTAACCAGTGCAGCACTTCACACTTACTTGGCAGCACAAAAATAATCCTCGCAAATTAACATTAAAAGTTTTGTCCCATTCCTCCAGGGAAGTCTCTTCACTTGCAGAGTTCAGATTGATTCCTGCATTGTTGCATGCAATGTGGACTGTGCCCCAGCGAGCCACGATTGCATCCACCATCCTTTGCACATCCTCAGGCTTGCTTACATCTGCTGCCAGGGCAAGGCTTTTAATGCCTGCATTGAAATAAGAATGATGGAGTCAGCATGGGAATTCACAGGGAAAAAAAAAAAATTCTATTTTATGATTGTTTTTTAATTCATATATAGAGACATTTTATATATGGCTGTATTTTACACATACAGCATTGTTGCATGCAATGTGGACTGTGCCCCAGCGAGCCACGATTGCATCCACCATCCTTTGCACATCCTCAGGCTTGCTTACATCTGCTGCCAGGGCAAGGCTTTTAATGCCTGCATTGAAATAAGAATGATGGAGTCAACATGGGAATTCACAGGGGAAAAAAAAATTCTATTTTATTATTGTTTTTTAATTCATATATATAGAGACATTTTATGTATGGCTGTATTTTACACATATATGTGTGTGTATATATATTCCACCTTAATTCATTGCTCCACAAGTAGTAGCAGAACGCGTGTTTGTTACTGCAATGCCTTTATAAAGTTGCTGACTGCTGCGAGGTTTGCTTGCTGGAGAGCAGCCTGGAGCCCAGGTGTGGGAGCACGGCTGCCGTCGGGCAGGACGAAGCTTGGAACACTGCACCATCTTCTGTCCAAACCCTCAACTGCAGCTTCCCAGCTCCCAGCCACTCTGCAGAGGCTTTTCTTATGCCAGGTCCCCCCAAAGATGCTGCAGAAATCAAATTAATTTGTCACAAACTGCTCTCTGGGTGAGCTACAGCATGCAGAGAGATGGGAGCCTCAGACAAACCAAACCAGTTTTAGGTGGGAGCTAAGTGGGAATACCTGCAGGTGCACAGGTATGGCAGTCACAGTGACTTATTTATTGCAAATCACACTGCCAGAATAATGCAAACATCTGGGAATGATTTACCAAATTTGAAACATGAAGAAGCTTTGCATTTTTTCCTAAAATAATCAAGCCACTGACTTTTGCACCAGGGCTGATCTGTAAATAACTTCATTTAATTCATCATAAAAATCAGCTTTAAATAACCTTATTGTTAGACAGCATAAGAAGCCTGCTGAGGCATCTGTTGCCACTGGGATTATACCCATCCTCAAAGCCAAACAAGGCTACACCAGTAAGGGCCATGGTGAAATGGGTCTTAATTAAGGAAGGAGGGAGGCAGCCACTGGGGTTGGACCATGATCAGCAGTCTGGGAAGGAAGTTGCAGCTATTAAAGCAGATCTATTTCTTCTATATAAATGACAAATTTGTTCCACACTGGTACCTCTTTTAGATCATTCTGATGAAACATTTAAAAGAAGGGATAATCCTATTCCAGGAGGAGACTCTCCCAAAATGAAGCTGAGATGGAGGTTTCCAGGAAAGCAAGGCAAAGCAGGAATTGCCCAGTGGTGCGTGTGTGAAAAAAATTACAGGAAAGAGTCTTTTGTATGGAAAAGCTCCTCCTCACCTCCAGTGCCTCCAGGAGTTGTCAGAGTGCACAGCCTGAGGTGATGCCACTCTGGGTGCCAGGGCATGGGAGCTCCTGTCCCTTTCAGGGATGGCACCATTCTCTTGATTTCCATGGCAGAGAAAAAACACTGACAACTAAAAAATGGATGCATGCTCTGCCACAAAACAAGACCTCTTATTTTATGGCAGGTTTCATGCTAAACATGCTGAAAGAATAAGGATAGCCAGACAGCCCCTGTTGCTCCTCCTAATTGTTATCAAGACATGTAACACACAGGGAGTTGCTGCAATCTTCCTTTTTCAATTTACAGATAAAATGGGTACAAGTGTGTTACTAATGGTAACAGAAAGACTCTTCACCTGCCCTCCAACTCTCACCCCATTTAGAGCTTCATCTTATAGGTCAGTTTATAAAAATGAGACAAAAGGTGCCACATGTGAGTGTCTAGTGAAGAAGAAGTGAAACCAAGCTCACTTCAAACCAGAGTCCCACACTCCATGTTAATCAGTTTATCTGATATTCCTGCACTCTGAGAGGGGGGAGGAAACCACTTTCTGTCTCTCCACTGTCCTCTCAAACCACCTGTTAAAAATAATAAATAAAACAAACTATGGGAATATAGCTTCAAATCTACAGACACAAGACATCCAGCACAGGATGATGCACAGGTGGGGCCAGTGCCTCTCCACAGTGCTCTGCTCACTTTTGTGGGGCTCATGGAGGCAGGTTTGTGATGAGGGGGGCAGGAGAGGAGCCCAGGGGCTCTGTGCTGGAGACAATCACTGTGCTGGATATGCCTGAGGTGTCCTTCTGCAGGGACAAGCACACGTCCCCCTGCCACGGGCTTCATGTCTGGTGTCTCGGCATAAATGGAAGTAACATGTTGCATATAGACAAGAAGATCAGGAGTGACATTGCACAAGGCATTTGCATAGTTTACAGTGAAAATGCACATTTTAAAAATCCCATCAGACTAATTCTTCCCTTAGGGTACAGGCAGTGATTCCCCCTGAAGACAGAGGTGTGTGTAGTGGAAGGCAACCCTTAGGATTTTTTGGTTATGTTTCATCATTTTTGGTTCTTCAGTCAGGATCCATTAGTAACTGTTGAAAAAGGTATTCACACAGGATCTAAAAACAAAGAGCCCTGCAGCCAAGGGACGTACACCCGAGCTGTCTAACAAAGCTAAAACTGAGATCACAGGCGTTCTGATGTTTAAAACTCATCATGAAATGATGGCACCATCCCAAAAGGCAGGAAAGGGCTCCTTGATATAAGAAGCAGAGCAGCTCTAAGCAAGCTAAGCAAAATGTTTTGAAAATGTATCAGTATGGGAATGACTTGGGGCACTGAGGTCCCAACTTTGAGTTAGAGATCTACAGCCATAGAGAAAAAAAATCACAGCCCCTTTCTCCTTATTACAGCAGGAAAAATACGTATTAATGTTATGATTGCTTCAATTTACTCATGTGAATATTTTGAGTGTAAAGCTAGCTGAACCTTTTTGTCAAAATTTATTTCCAACAGAGCATGATACTTCTTTGAAGCCAAAATGTTTCATGGAAACATTGATTTCAACAAAAAGTTTTCAAGGGAAAGCTTCTGAGGTCCAGGCTAGAATCTCTAGTTACCTCTGGAGAAAAAGAGATTGAAAACCTGACCTTTTCAGATCCTTTCCAAAAACGGGCATTTGGATATAATTCCCTTGCACAAAAGCTTTACAAAGTTTGGGGGTTGTTCCAACAGGGAACGACAATAAATTCAAAACCTCAAAACCCATCATGAGATGGAAGAGATGTGCCCTGACCAGCTGCACTGGTCAAATTGATAGATAATATTTGACCTCAAAGGATAAAGATGTGTAAAGAGTGAGGAGTGAGATTTTCTTTACTTTAGACTGCAATAATATTTGCTATGCCTCATGACCTCTCCGACTGCATTTTGGAACAACCCCCCACCTCCTCCAGGCTGGCAGCCCACTGCTGAAGGAGCAGAGATGTAGGGCAGCCATTGAAGGGTAGATGATCAAACTCCTACTGAAAATGCCCTGGAGATGAGTTAAGTTCATTTTCCAATAGGCTGTTGGCATCCAAAGTCTCATGGCTCTATCAAGTAGCCCATTTCTATCCGAATAGCTCTGCTTGATATGCAGGATCTCCCAGGGAAACAATGTCCAAAAGGAGAGTTAAGGTGTAGGGCACAGCTATTTTGTGCCAAAACCATCTGGCTGTGGTGCATAAGAGAGTGAAAAGCTTCAGGGAAGGAGGGACTGGATGACTCAAAAATTTGTAATAGGAACTGGGCGCTTTCTTCTAGGTCATTATTTGGGATCAGAGCTTTAACCATTGCACTGACACTCCATGTGAAGTGTCTCCTGCTTAGCAGAGCTGGGGTTGTGCAGACAGGGGTGTTTTGTTTTAAATGTTCTCTGGGGAGCCTCAGAGAATTCTGGTACCTGAACCAAAATGACACCAATCCTTGTCTCTTCCCGAGACTGAGTGATATAAATGCATCTGCAGGGGCTGGTTTTGCTGGAGAATATGGTTTCTAATGGTCCAATCCCTTGCAGAAGTCAGAGTGGAAACAAATACTGTTGACTTTATCCAGGTGGGAATGTGAAAATTTCCTGAGTAACTGTCCATCTTTAGAGACAATGAAGTACTGAACTTTGAAGAAGGCTCAGGTGCAATCTCACAGAATGAATTATAAATTGAATAATACTTCCTTTCTTTTATCATTAAAAATATATTTCCAGTTTCCTTTTTCCCCCTTTACAACTGCAGTTTAGCACAGCTCTAGGGGGAAATTTGATTTTATGTTACATTTTCTTTTTTTACTGCTAAAACAGAAGTGGCTTGTAGAGGATTTTACCTCTTATTTGGGATTTTACTTATTATGTCTATCAGTATTTTGTTCCCACATCTGACTTTGCATACATGTTTGAAAGAGGGCTTGAAAAATGACTTGTCTTCAATTTAAAGAGCACAGTGAGAGATTCAGACTGACACTACAACTACCCTGTTTTGGTGTTTTGGCTCGTGGTAGGAAGAGGGTTTGGAAGAGGGTGAGTTTGTAGGCTGTATCTTTCATTCACCCATAGTGAAGCCTGCATGATTTACTTTGAGCAGCACCATCTCTGTTCAGTGTGGTCATTCAGATCTCACTTGTGCAGGGTGACCCTTCTCTGTTGCTGTCAGCAATGGCTCACCACTTTGGACACTTTTAGCAAAGAATTTTGTTTGGATCACTTTGCCTCTCTAGAGGAGTTTATATTGATAAATAACTCTCGCAGATGATGTGGTATCAGTGACTGCTGGCACAACACTGACAGGGCAGGAAAAGCTTTATGCCCATGGCATGAAAATCCTCTACTCCAACCACTTCCCCACCAGGGCTGGATGGGAGGGATTGCTCTGCAGAGCAGCATCAGGTTTGAAGGAGGAAAGCCACCCATTACAGCGCCCACCACGCTCAGTGCTTACCTTTGAGGCTGAGCTCACATGCCACCGCTTCTGCCTTGGCAAGGACCAGATCCACCACAGCCACTTTAGCCCCAGCTTCCCCCAGGGCGTGGGCAAAGGCCCTGCCAATTCCCTGCCCTCCTCCTGTGACGTAGGCCACCCTGCCGTCCAAGCGCAGCCGCTCCAGGATGCGGCGCCGGCTGCAGCCCCAGAAGACATCATCCTTCACCACTTCCATCTGAAACAACACAAACACCCTGCACAGTCAGGGGCAGAGCTCACCAACAGCTGTGGAGGACTCTGCTGGCAAGACCAAGGTGGGAGCATGAGCAGGGATCCATGTCTTCTTGGCCCATTAATTAATACAAAAAGTACCACTAATTCAAGCCCAAAAGCCCCCTTATCCATACAGATATTAAGTTCAAACAGAGCACTGAGGTGCCAGACAATTGAAGAAAGGCTGTGCTTTAGGGAGATGCTACAACCATTCCATTTTCAGGAGAGTAGTGTATGGCATTTCCTAGCCTGGCTTGGGTACAAAGTCTCAGAAGTTGACTGATTAGTCTTCCAGTTATTTCATCCCCAGGGCTGGCTTGGGTACAAAGTCTCAGAAGTTGACTAATTAGTCTTCCAATTATTTCATCCCCGGGGCCAATCTTGCCCTCAGGCTCAGCTAAGAGGGTAAGAACAAGGTTCCAAAGGCAGGATTTGGGTCAAGTAGAGTGCAATCAAAATATCTTCACAAGGCTGGTGCACAAATAAAGATATCAGCCAATAACTTAAACCAAGCTGTCATCTGATCAGCTGCCATACATCATTTCCCCCAACTGGAATCAAAATGCAAAATACAAGATGTTTAAAATATTGAGCTTGAAATGCCAGGAATTACCAGTGGGTGTAGCTTTGGGAGTGCTCAGAAACTGCAAAACAACTAGCATGTTTGGGTCTGGGTTTACTGAGGAAGGCCATTGAGATTCCAGATGGGAATTTCATTACAGCTGGATGATGCCCACTACATAAAACAGAGAAAGATAAAAGCACGATTTTTTCCTTGGGACAAGCAAAATGTAAGGCCATGAAAATACGCAACTCAGAGAGCACAGGAGGGCATCCTGTGCTGCATTGGAGCAAAAAGATGAACTATTTCAGAAATTTTGTATTGGTTCATTACAGCTGGTCCTCAGCTCCATCTTCCCATGCATGGGAAGGATGGAAGAGCACCAGGCACTGAAACCTGATGAGCAGTACACCAGTCCCTGCAGAGACTCATCACAGGACCAGCTGATCTGAAAGGCTTTGCAAGGAATCAGCATTTATCAGCTTTAGTGCAGCCCTGGACTGGTGATGCTAAAGGGTGCCAAGCTCTAAGCTGCTAAACCCATGATCATGGTGCCACATGTTTGGGTTCTTGCCACCAAACCTCTGAAAATTATTTTGTCCTTGTCCTTGGCAAAGTCAAAAATATTCCCAGAAATGCTCACAGAGAGGAAATACCCACCTTGGACTCAATCACTGCATCTGGAGGCACAGGGCTCCTTCGGATCAGGCTCAGTCCACTCTGCACAGGCAAAATCACCTGCAAATACAACAAAATCCTCATCTGCTTGGTACCTGGCTTTCTGTCACCCAAATTCCTCTGATATGAAGGATAACCCTCAGGCCTCAGTACTTTTTCCCCTACTCCTGTTCTTTAGTTGAAGCTGCCTCCAAGACAAATATTTCAGGCATTTGTATTTGCTCCCATTCCTCTTCCAAACTCATTGCTTACACAAACGCCTGGGAAAAAAATGCAGTCTTGTCTCTCCAGTTTCTAAAATCACAACATATTGTTTGTGCATCCTATTACTTCTTCTTTTTATTCTCTTTGCTGACTCCTGTTGTGCTGGTGATGCCCTACAGCCCCCAGAACCTTTAAAGCAGAGTGGTAATGCTTTAGTTGTGCTGTAGAGCTGATTATTTACTCTTAAGTGCTCTCCTTTTATCTTGCCTTTAACACACTATAAGATGTAGACAGGGCAGGGACCACTCCTGAATATAGAAACTCATACCTAGAGCTCAAGTGAGGTGAATTATAATAAAATCTGAGTTCATTTTAGGTCCTTTGGATAATGGCACCAACAAAAGAAGTATTTTAAAGAGTACTTTGCAAAATCCATAGATACAGCACTGCGGGCACCTTAACCAATGGCATTGCACTAACCTGCTCAACACGAGGATCTGAATTAATAACTGAATTTAATTTTCTGACAGCTAGTACATTTTCATCTGATACATTCTCCAGGTAGACTTGTCCTTTCATGAGTGTATTCTCTACGCAGATCACTGCATCCATGCTCAGCAAGTGGTTATCCATGACAAAGCTGTAGTACTGAACAGCATTCCTTTGATCAGCATCAATAAAGACTATATCAAAGTGCTCATCCTCAGCATGTAATGCCTGGGGAAAAAAATTATATTGGAGAAAACACTAATTATTTACCTGAAAGTTTAACATGTTGCCATTAATTTGTTGTTTATATAAACCCCAAACCAGACAGAAAGTTGTTCTTTTAAGGTAACACTGCTAGAAATGCTTTGGAAATCTTGGGAAGTTTTCCATGCTTTGCAAACAATTCTTCAGCAATGAATCTCTGAACTTCTCAAGGAAAATCAGGATATAAAAGAGGATGGCTCATCCCAGCTTATGGTGTTGAGAGTCACAGGAGAAACACCTGCATACCTTGAGTCAAAGTAAATTGATCCATCAGGGTGAGACTGACATCAAACCCTGACACTGAGGTGCTGCAAGTCCTCTCCTCTCAAAAGAGCAACTATCAACAAATTGAAGAGTGGCAATTATACCAGTCTGGGGAAAAAAGGAGGCATAAGGCAGATCTGGGAATTGCAAACTAGTGTGTCCCACTTCAGTAGCAGGAAAAAGGTTGAAATCCCAATTAATATAGAATTATAAAGCACATGAAAGAACAGGTCATGATAGAGATAAAGCAGCACAGCCCCTGTGAAGGAAAATGATGTTTCTTTAATCTAAAAAAATGCTTTGGATGGCTCAGCAACAGAGAGGATAAAAGAGAACTGGCTGCTATCATCTAATTGGATTTTCAGAAATGTGGCACACCTTCCCTCCAAGCAGGCTGCTGATGATAATGTATAAAAGTGTTGATGGATGACCAGATGGGAGCCTTTACAGCCTTCTCCTGTGGCAGTTAATGCACTCGCTGCCCAAGAGGCTGCTATGGAATATTTCAGATTCCATCTGGGACTATTTAACTGCATCTGTGTGTGTTGCAATGAAACAACAGCTCATCCACCTATCTCAGGGAGCAGAAATGCTTTCAAGTCTTTGCATTTCAAGGGAAAAGAGAAACAGTTCTGTTTTCCAGAAGTCACTGTCTCTGCCACGACTTTTAACAGTGCTTCTTGCATCCAGATTTCCCTTTTGTGTTTAGAGACATTGTGCACAAGGAGTGATGAGCCATCCCTTGGGAAGTACCAGCAAAAGCATCAAAAAAGGCAACAGAATGTGAAAAACTGGTTTGGTTTTGGGAGTAAGTAAGGTTAATGTCTCCCAGAGAGAGATTTCAGGAGCCTTTCTGAGGCAGGAGTGTGTGGATCAGACAAGGAAATTGAGGAAAGCAGATTGTTGAAGCTCTGAACTCCTCTGTTGTGCAAACTGGTGTCATTGTGAGCTTGTTAGTGGTGGGGAATTAAGCTTGGATAGCCACATTTCACTGTGGATGCTTGATAGCACAGAAACTCTGCTGAAAGCATTCACGAGCCCACATTTAGGACACGTTACACTGTAATGAGAGAAGACCTTAAGGCCAAATATATGCTGGTTTATTATAAATGTAGGAGAAACTGGGACATCTGGATTCCTGGGATTAATCTTTTCATCTCATGACCAACAAGAAAATCTTGCCCTGGTTCCCTCTTGAGCCACATTGGTGGAAAGCAGCAGGGACATTTTTGCTACTGTGGAAGAGAATCTTACATCAGGCTGCACCTCAGTCACTGTGTCCAGTGTGGGTACTTCAGGAGGGGTCAGAAGATGAAAGCTGGGTGCAGGAGCCCATCACAAAGAGAGGTTAGAGGTCTCATTCCTCAGCAAGAAGAGCCAAAGCCAAATTCAAGTAATTATCATGACTTATCACCACTTTCTGACTTGTAACCTTCCTGGGTGGAGGGGGTGGGGGGCAGACATTCAGAAACAGATGTGGCCATGGCTGAACATATGTTACTCCTGCTCCGTGGGATGGCTCCCTAATGAAAAAGAATCTCACTTTTATGCATTGACTTCATTAGGTCCATATGGAGTTGTGCAGCTCTCTGGATATTAGCTGGACTTCTCATTTCAGCCCTCTTTCTGTACTGCCTACCTGCTGACAGCTTATCTCTTTCTTATCTGTCTTCTGATACAGATAAACCACCTTTCAACATCACAGCATCCATCCCAGGAGGGTGCTTGGGTTGGATGTGTAACCAGGGCACACCAGCTTGTCCTTGGGTGTGCCAGGCCATGGTTTCTAAGACATTTCTCTTCTGCCACTTCACTGAGTCCTGAATGGCCAAGCAGAAAGGTCACTTGGGCATCCAGATACCTGACACATGGAAGGAATAACCTGAGTTTGTCCTGGGACCTGCCATCATTTGAGCTTCTTGTTTACACAGGTTCATAATTGCTGCTGGGTTTTCCATATTTAGCTAGAAACAGCTCCAGGGCTATAAGAGCAATCCATTAAATTCCTTAAACCAGACTTACCTTCTGAGCAGCCTCTAAACAGCAGGATGACAGCCACAGGGAGAGGAAAATTCCCTGTTTCCTGGAGCTCCTTGGCTAGCAATACACAGGTCACCCAGGTAGGTGTTCACCATGGCCAGAGCACCACTCTGGAGAGGGTTTCCTCACTGCCAGCACCCACTGCTGGACAAAACCAGCCAGAAAATAAAAGATCTGCTCTAACTGCAGAGCCAAGCACTGGAAAGACGGGCACAGTGGTTGAGAGGACAGCTCCATGCTGTCCAGTATGGATGAGGGGGTTTAAAATGAGGGATTGACACCCTGGCCCTCCCAGCACAGACTGGGCCAGGCCCTGCCTGGGACCTCACAGCACTCTGGAGATGCCATTGTCCTTTTCTTGGAGAGGCAGAGCCCAAATGCCTCCAACTGTGAGGAAAGCTGAGATCCAGAAGGAAATAATCTGCCTGCAAAATATCCTGCTGAAACTAATTTCCTGAGTGTTTACAGTGCAATCCCTGCTCCTTGCTACAGAGTCATCATAGATGGTAACAGATGGCAATAAGAGTTTTAATTCAGAACAAACTTGGCTAAAATTAATGCTTTTGCTTACAGTGAGTCATTAACTTCCTTTCAGATTAAAAAAAAAAGTGTAACACTGCATTCCATTGAGGAGATGTACCAAAAGTGACCATGAGAAAGGGCACAGCAGCACTGCTGATGGATACAGCAAAGGATCAGGGAGAGGACATCCTGAATAAAAACACGAATTAATCTTCTGCCAAAGCTCAGAGCAAACTTGATTGGAGTCCTGATCAGAAACAACACTCTCATAAGGCACATACAAACTCAATCAGAAAAAAAATGACTGCCCAGTTCCTTTGATATGGATCATACAGTCAGCATATTTGTAATAAAGATGTACTCAAAACTTATTACCTTTCTTGTGCCTTGTTCTTGACCTAAATGTAATAGCAATCCATCCTTGGGGTGCACAGAATACATGAAAAAGTACAGTTTCCTTTTAAAACACCATTAGAATATTTTACTGTGTGTGGACATACACTCTTGTTACTCCTAAATGCTATTCTATTGAGAACAGTTTATATTCACCAGCAAAGCAAAATCTCTAGGGAAGCCAGAGAGGGAATGCAATTTCTAGTAATAACAGCTCACAACAGTGAATACTATCCACTTATCCCCACAATTTCCAGCTATTTTGGACTCCTTTCTGAATTAACCTTTCATATCAAAAGGAGCAATTCTAGAGCACACTAGAGACTCCGACACAATTTCATGCATAATTTATTCACTCAGTTCAACATTAAACGCAGAGTCCTTGACTTTGTCAAGGTGGATTCTGTTGGCAGACTTCACAAGCAGCAAAACAGGAGAAATGAGATCTGCAGCTCAACCTCTTCACCTATTCTGTCTGCTAACAGGAGGGAAAAAAGAAGAAAGCAAACCCTGACATGCTTCCACACTGCCCTGCAATCAGCAGAATTGGCTGCAAACACCGTGTTATTTTTGTGTTGCATTTTCAATTTGAAAATGGAAGGATCAAAATAATGGATGGGAATAATTTCCTGATAGTTTGCATTCCCTCCAGACTCAATCCTGCATCCATTGTTCATCAAAATCCACTGGGATTTGAAGGAAGCTCTTTGTGCAGGATCAGGCTCTTGCTGGTAGCAGATCCATGGCAAGGCACATTATCCAGGCATGGCTCAACAGAGTTCAGACTTCAGGGAAGATTTGTTGGGAAATGTTTTTAAACACTGGCCCAGGACACATTAAATAGGTAGCTAATTCCCACCAAAGACACCTGTACCTGAGACTGAACCTGAAGAAAGGCTTCCCCTCAGTCCACATTTTAAAATACAATGTAGAATTCCTGAAGCCCTTCGGCACAGAGGGTTTGTGGTCTGTGTGAGCTCTGTGCTCTGCTGGGGACCTCACCCAGCTTGACAGTGTCTCTCCTCTACGTGGGGAAGGTGGAATTTTATCACCGTGCCCTCAGGTATCAAGTGAACCCTACCATGTATTTGAGATATCTGGCACCTGTCTGAGACTTAGCATCCCTTGACAGGTCAAAATCCCAGATGTTTTGTGATGTGGGACAAGAGGGAGGGAAACAGGCCAACCCCAGTGTTGTGTGACAACACAAGGGAGCACCAAGAGGCTTCAGAGAACCTGGCCAAGGTGCTGCCATGGATTGCTGTGCTGCCTTTGCTCTGCTCTCTGCTCACTCCCAGCCCTGCTGGGCCATGGATTTGGGTGAAGGAGCCAAAGCCACAGGGGTGACATTATGGCCCCACTGTCTGAGGTGCACTGGCACAGATTTTATCCTTATGGCAACTGCTGCAAGATCTGGCAGCTTCCTGTAAAGGGCAGAAGCAGTTGTGGGGACAGCCCTGGACACATCCTGCAGCACCTGGACGATACCTGAGGCTGGGATGCAGCTCCTGGTAGACTAGTTTTACACCAGAAGGGAGAGATCATACTCCTTCTGCCAGTTTGGACACACTGAATCACAGGTTCATGCAGCAGAGAAGGAATCCCCTGACAGGTAGTTAATCTATAGACCATATGACATTTTCTTGCTTTGAATGGGCCAGGGCAGTGAGGCAAATCCTGCTTCCAGGAGTTGTATTTCTGTGAAAATTTGAGGAGCAGCAGATAAGCAGAAATATTGCCTTGCTGTACTCAGCTTAGAAGCAAGATTCAGCCATCATCATCAAGCAAGAAAGCTGCACCAGACACCTCCAAAGAGCAATTGGTGGGTGACCAGCTCTGCCCTCCAGTTTCTACACAGGGATGAGAATGACACCTAGGGCTGCAGACTCTGCAGGCAGCAAGGACAACCCTTGCCAGAATCCAGCTCTTCTAAACCTCGCTGTGCTCCTCAGCAAATGCTAGCCAGCTCTGCCTCCCCACAGACCATGAGGGACTGAAGTGTTCTCCACCTCCTCTGTGAAGCTGAGCCGTGACAGCCCTGCTGTGCCATCCCACCCCCCAGCTCCTGCCTGTGTCCTCCTGCCTTTCAGCAAAGGAGCCTGCTCATTCTCCAACCTACACTGGTGTCTGGGAGGGAAAAGGCAGCATGCTGTCCACAGGCTGAGCCCCTTCCACATCCCCAGGCATCCCATGCAGCTGCCACACTGCAGCTGGGCAGCCCTCAAGAAGCCCAAAATGCAAATGCACCAGAAAGGCCACCAAATTCATTGCTTCAGCATTTACAGCCATTGTGGATTAAACCTGTAGGACAATCCTGATTGTCCTGATACTGACGACAAAACGCCTGCCACACTGAATAGCAAAAGTTCAGAGCCCAGTGCAGAAATCCTGCACAGAAAGGTGTCCCCATGCTGGGAGCTCTCCTGCCAAACACGAGCATCTCTGTTCCCAACAGCTCCAAGAGGCATTTGAAGTTCTGAGCACCTGCAGAACTGGGGTCAGGATGTGCCTTCATGTTGCAATTGGAGGATATAAAATCAATTGCAACATTCTGTTTTAAGGATTTAATTTTCATGTCTTTGCTCCCTTCTTTAATCTCTACACAGCATGTACTCTGCCTGCCTCTAGATATTTTAATTCAGTCACAGTAAGTCAGTTGCACAGAATGGGCACTAGAGAGCAACAGCAATTCAATTAATTTCACACTCACTGCAGGGAGCTGGGATTTTAAATGCTGCACATTGCAGGTGATCTGTAACATTTCGGTTTTTTCATATACTTGCAAAGCTCTTTGTTTCTTTCTTATCAAACTTGGAGGTCATGAAAACCAGAGGTCAGAAAGCTCCTGGCCATTTCATTTCAGAAATAAATATGGTGCCTGCTAATGCAAATAAAGTTACAATCAGGCTCACACTGACACATCCTGATTGAAAGTGAAATCAGATCAAATTGATTTGTATTAATAATAGAAAGGCTTTTTAATGAACCTGGTATGGGCACCACCTGTCTCATGCTGGACCTGCAGCAGCCTCCTGGAGATCCATAAACTGGAATTAAATGTGAGCTGCCAGCAATCAGAAGATTTCTCTGTCTTGGGACAAAGTCACCAGTCAGAATGAAACAAGTCCAGCTAAGGCATTATTTGTCAGAGGCTAATCACTTTGCTCTGGAAGTGAGAAAGTGGGGTCTAATTCATCTAAGAGTTTGCTGTGGGGAAAAATAGTGTGAGGTTTTGGCAGAATTACAAACTTCTCCAGGAGTTTCCTAGCTCTTGTGAACATTGGGAGAAAGCTGTCCTTCTCAAAAGTTGGCTCAGCAGGGTACAGATCCATTCTTCCTGTTTGTAATATTTGGAATTAGGGACCCAAAACAAAGCCAACCCTTGTTGAGTTAAACTGCCATTGAAGCCTACCGACCTACACTGAGAGCCTGTGATTCCTCTGATCAAAAAGCTGCAGGATTTTAGTTCAAAGGGAGAAAAACTGTCTTGTGTGACAGAGCTGCCCCAGCACACACTGGAAATAAGAAATAACCTTGGTGCAAGAGTGTGTTCAAGCAAACCAGAGCCACAACCCAGCATCATGTGGGCAGGCTGATTTTACCTCCAAGGTATCTGCCACTGGTCCCACTCGCATGCTTATCTTTTTGCCATCTGAGGAATAATCAAATGCCTCCTGGCTGTTCACTCCGAGGTACGGCTCTTCTGCACAGGCAAAGATTTTGCCATTGTCTGGCAATTCCTCTGCAATAGCAAGGATACTGCAACCTTTAAGCTTGCCAATTAATAAAATCTTCCTGGCTCTGATCATGTGGACAAACATCCTAAAAATTTGGCCTGCGGAAAGACAAGAATGAAAATTTGAAAATAAAACCGTGAGAAAGACTCTACTTTGTTCACAGTGAAAATTAGATGTGCCTTTTAAGTGATCATTAAAAAACTCTAATCTTAAAACACTCTCAAATAAAGGTTTAACCACAGAATCTGACAAAATTTCACCTAAAAATGCAGCTAAAAGACAACAGAATAAAAGGACTGATTTTAAATGTAGAACCTTTATCATCAATGCTGCTATTGTTCAAGTGCTTGTTAAATAGTGCTTGAAATATTGCATATTTTAACATTCCCCCCATATGAAAATGGCTTTGAGATGGCTCCATATTCTTTCTGGAATCCAGCATTAAAAAAAAAAAAATCACTACATTACCTTGCATTTGCTCTTAGAGTCATTATCCCTAGACAGCACCATCATTTAAGAAATTTATCATCAGTGGTGTCCTTCGAACAATGTATTAGTGTAATAGATTATAAGAGTACTTCACTGGGATGATGTATTACTCCAAAGATGAGAACATCTGGGAAGAATGAATCTGGGAATAGATTTAGTGTAATAGGCTTTATAAGAGGATACAAGCCTGAGTATTTCTGCTTGTAAAGGTGCTTGGCCATAGCCACCTTCACCACAACAAGCATATAAACCCCTATCAGACATCCCAAACCCAAATCAGAAGCACTTTTCCATCCCTTTCCCTTCCAGGAAGGTGATGATCTCTTGGCTGTTCACTGAGGGATGGGGCTGGCACTGGGAATTAAAGCACTTGTGTGTGGGCACGTGTGAGCAAATACAAGGGCATGGAAGGCAGGGTACAGGAACACTCATGACAGAGGAAGATCAAAGCCCACAGGAAGCTCATGTATTTCTTATAAGTAATTTCCCACATTTTATGAGTATTCCCATGGCATTCATCCTCACTACTCAAGACAAAGTAGAGGATGATAACTTCAACTTCAGTGAGAGCCTTTACACCAATCTGGTGCATTTTCACCCTCTTGGCTGAGCAACTTGCCATTCAAAGAGCCAGAGGCACATGTTTCCTGCAGCCTGACTCTGCTTTCAACTCCTTCAGCATCCCCCGGGATGGGCTCAGGTGAAGATTTTCTGGGGGAGAATAAAAAAAGACATTTTGATATTATGATAATAACCAAAATCTGAGCCCAACTCCTTCAGCATCCCCCGGGATGGGCTCAGGTGAAGATTTTCTGGGGGGGAATAAAAAAAAGACATTTTGATATTATTATAATAACCAAAATCTGAGCATCCAGCATAAAAAGCAGCAACCAAGAGGGAACTCCTGGAAAACCTCCATCTGTGCATGACCATGAAAAATTAGCCCAGAAGCATCACAAGTATCCTAAATTCCAGTCCTAAGAGAACCTTGTTTGGCAATAAGCACATCTCAGTGCTGGCAGCCACCCCAGTCATAGGAGCTTGGGAAGGAGGGAACATGAGACTAAAGGAAAGAATTCCCCACTGTTCAACCCCAAACCTTTCCCATTTTCAGCTGGTCCCAGACAGATCTCTATCTATCTGCAGCTTTGGAGTGATTTACTCCGTTTACCCTGGCCAGGTTTTGTTCAGTTCTACAATTATTAGTTTTGTTCCAGCCAAAAATTAGGTTTCTTTGCAGAACAGGGGAAAATATATAAAATCTAATTTTTTTTATAAGACAGGGGGAAAAAAAATGTTTTTCCTCACAAAGTGCTCAGAAAGCAGGGTGCCTCCAGATAACAGGGGAAAATATATAAAATCTAATTTTTTTTATAAGACAGGGGGAAAAAAATGTTTTTCTTCACAAAGTTCTCAGAAAGCAGGGTGCCTCCAGACGCTATTTCACAGAAGTCAGGCCTGTGACAATGACTCTGGATGAAGTGAGATGTTACCTATTACATAGGGAAGGCAATAGAGGACTGGAAGCAGCCCATAGCCTCCAGACAGCTTAGATTACCCTATGTGAAGAAAGTAACCACCTGAAATGGATGGTGATCATTCTTTGGGCCAGAATTTGGAGCCATTTCAGTGGATTTTTTTCCTCCAGCTGTCCCCCTCCACTCCTCAGTAAAATGAGAAAGAATTCATAACCCGTGTCAGCCACAGTCAGATAATCCAAGACTCAAAGAGTAGAACATTTCCTATAACCTCTTTTCTGCCCCTCACAAATGCTTTAACAACTTTAATAAGATAATGTATAGCTATTATCCTACAGCAAGTGTAAGTCAAACAACTATCAGCTATTATTTCAGCAACAGAGAGAACGCTCAGCGTTCCCATAATCCACAGCCTGGAACAGTTTACACATTGTCAATTTTAGACAGAACTGGCTTTTTCCACATATCAAAATGTACACTGATAAATGGGAATTGTTTAGCAGACCCCACACGGCTGGGTAATATAATGTAGCTCAAAAAAGAATAATGAGGGTATCAGTTGGACTTCTGAATTAATGATACCTTAAATTAGTTTAATTAATTAGTTTAGTTACCAGAGTAATTTAGTTAGCAGATTAATTAATGTTTGTTGAGTGCTTGGAGATAAAAGCCACACATAAAGGCTGTTATTAGAGGGTGGATCCAGAGGTGCAGGTTTTCCTCACTCTTTATTTATCCCAGCACCAGCTGGATCCAGGGGCTCACTCTCTGAGCCTTCCAGCAAGCACAGTGTGGAGGTTGGTGTTCCCCAGGGATTGCTCCAACTCAGACACTGACAGCCAGCAATCAGTTGGGAGAATATCTCCAAAAATTTACACTTAAAGTTTTTTGTTCTCACCTCCTTTCCTGCAGGCTGTGGGCTCACACACACTTCCATGCACACTTTGCTACACGTTTGGGTGATTCCACTTCCTGCTGCTGTCCCCCATGTTTCTGGCATGTTCTGGACAGAAAATCTGGCAAGATATTCGTCCCATCACAGACAAAAGCACCAGGCTACCTCTGGGAAGCTGCCATTGCATCCAGGTAAGGGTCTAGTCCAAGAGCAACATCAAGAGCTTTTTGTAAGTAATTCCTGAGCTGTTCAGGTACATGAGGGTCATTGAGGGCTATTTCTTTGGCTTTGAGAAGGTTCTCAGCAATGTGCCCAGCCGGAGTTTCTGAAATGGAAATTAAAAGGGAGAATAATGATTTTGTAACTGCTCAATCAGTGGAAGTGGAGTTTAAAGTACATAAGCACAGGGCTGCTTTTTTTAAATACAAAATATAGGGGTTTGATGGGCTATGAAAACAATCACAAAAACCTTTGCAAACTAAAAACGTCCTATACTTCTGACAGATTTTTGCTGCATGCATTCTCCCTTTTTCCCCTCAGAGCTGATCAAGAATAAGAATGTTTTAAACACATGAATTTTGTTTTTAAAGACAAAACAAACATCAAACATCCAATACAAACATCAAACACCAAGGACTGCATATAAACCTTGCTCCTCCAGGTCCAATTTTCCTTGAAGGAAAGAGAGTGCTTTCTAAAACTGGTCTTGCCAAACCAGGCAGGAGATGCAGGCAGTGGGTGAAGCTTTGTAAAAAGGAGGATTTTTGTGTCAATGGGATGTACAAGTGTCCCCAGTCTGTGTCTGTGCCAGGGAGGCTGCTGTGCACTACACATGTCATCATTTCTGAAATGTGGAAACCTCTCCAAGATCCAGATCACCAATGCTGCCCATGGCACTGAACCTGCCCTGAGATCCCAGAAAACCTTCATGGCAGCAATCCACCATGGATCACAGCAAGCTGTGGCCCCAGAGGGCGAGGCACGGTCCAGAGGAACTCCCCCACTCCTCCAGTGTGAGAGCACGTGCTGGGTTATGAAAGCACCTGTGAGACACAGGCCAAGAGGCTGGGGTGGAGCGGAGTGCCCCTGGCAGGGTTTTATTGCCTGGGATAGAAAGGCTGCAGAGAACTACATGGAGTGAGTGAAAAAAGGACATCTCTTCTACTTCTGTAAAAAAGCATTACAGTACCTGAAGGGAGCCTGCAAGAAGGATGAAGAGAGACCATTTGCAAGGCATGTGGTGGCAGGACAAGGGGAATGGCTTAAGACAGAAAGAGATAGGTTTATGTTAGCTATTAGGGAGAAATTCTACTCTGAGAGGGTGATGAGACCCTGGCACAGGGTGCCCAGAGCAGCTGTGGCTGCCCCTGGATCCCTGAAAGTGTCCAAGGCCAGGCTGGATGGGGCTTGGAGCAGCCTGGGACAGTGGAAGGTATCCCTGCCATGGCAGGGAGATGGAATGTGATGGGTTTTAAGATCTTGTCAAACCAGCCCATTTCAAACCAGACTCTGTGATACAACGCCATGATTTCATCTCATCCCAATCTCTAACTGTCAGGGGCAGGTTTTATCTGTTCCAGCAGTTTTATAAATAATTGCAGCTGCAGGAATTTTCCCAAACCATGCTGGCTGCTGACCTCAGCCCAGCTGCACTTCCAGTGAAGAGGACACAAACTCTTCTTGCAGCATTTCCACCACTACAAGAGGAAGCATCCCTGGGCTCCCACTGCTCAGCTGGAGAGTGCTGGAGGTGAAGATCTGCTCATCCTCCCTGCCAAGCACTTTTTGCTAATTTAGGGGTAAAAACATGTTTATAATCCATGTAGGCTTTCAGTAATCATCATGTTCTGCTTCTGGATAAGTAACAGACAGGGATTGCCTGTCACACAAAGGGGAGGAAAGAAGACTTACCCTCAGCGGTTTTGTAAGCTGTGTTATAACACCAAACATGAGAGCCAAGAGGTGCTGCAGGGAGGGGGTGCAGGCAGGGCATGCCAGGGGCAGCCCTCCATCCAAGCTTACACAACCTTTGCAGGGAGTGCTGCATTTTGTGCAGCTTGGTGATGCTTTGGGCCAACAGCAGAGGTCAGAATTGCCCTCATTTATGCAAGCACCAGACAAGTCAGAGCAGAGCTCAGGGCTGGCTGCCCGGCCCAAGGCCCTGAGCACTAAGGTGAGCTAAACTTTATGTAACTACTTTTTTTTTTTTTAAGGTTATTCCAGGAAAAAGTGCTTCATTTCAATGCAGAGCTCTACACAATCCCAGAAAAACTGCTGGAGTATATTAAGCACTATATCAGATTTCCTGACTGTGTCCCTATGCACAGACATCTCTTTCCATTTCCCATCTAGTTGTACATTATCATCAATAGGAGAAAAGAAAAACAGCTCACTCAGAGGAAGAAAATGATGAAAATAGCCCTTCCATGAAAGAGCAGGAAAGGGCTGCTTTAAGTCTCCAGCAGCTTCATAAAGAAAGAAAAGGTGGCAATTCTTAAAATGGACCATTCTTGATAGCAGAATGATTCCCAGCATCTTCCTGGGCAGGTGCTGAGAGCACAGCCACCCTGTTTTACAACTAAGCTGAACAGTAAATTGCAGCTTCTACTCTGTCTGAAATCAGGAACTTTTGATTCAGACCAAAGTCAGGATTGCAAGGTTGTACATGTGGGATTTCAGTGTCCCCTGAGCAGACAGGCAGTGCAGTGCCATGGAGGGACCTGCTGCTCCAGAATCACAATTAAACTCTGCAGTTCATGCTCAGATGGCACTTTTTAGGTGGAGAAAAGAGGAGAACACTTCATTGTTTGCAGGGGGCCACCCTGAAGGATGCACATAGACAAGAAGACAATCTGGATTTGGCAAAAACAAAGCAAAAACACGAGACCAAAAAGAACAAATCTTTGGTTCCCATTTTAGGGCTATCCTCATTTCACCTTCCAGGCTCTGGATCTGTTTTGCAGCCCCAGCAATGCCTTCCAAAGAGCCCCCCTCCCCAGCCAGGGCCGAGCACTGAACCTGATCCACCTGAACTCTTTGCTGCCAGACTGTTTGGTGCTCCTGTGCCAAGCCCTTTGGCAGGAGCTGCTCAGTGCTAAGCACTTGGAAATTCAGTCTGCCAAAACCATCCCCAAGAGCTCCAGCCATCATATTCACCAAGGCACCTCAGGCACTGACAGCAGCTTATCCCAACCCTCAGCTCTTTGCCTTGGTGTATAA